CGGGAGCCCTTGTTGGGTTGAGTGGTTTGTCGGGGTTTTTTTAAAATAGTAATTTGTTGTTGCTACTCATGTGTGTTGAACAGAGAAAGAGTGAGGTTTGAGAAGTGAGAGGATTCGGCATTGCGATGAAATGCAGTTTTTGTGTGACCGCCAGCTTCCCTCCAATAGCGGAAATTGGTGGCATTTCGTATTGCCGTGTGCAGTCCTGGAGCTGCAGGCAGCTTGCTGTGCTTGTGGGTCACACGCACAGGGTAAAGGTGGCTTTGAAACTGAAGTGCAAAAGAGAGCCATGGTCCATACTCATATTGTTTAGTTGTTGGCTGTGCTGTTCTCACTGTTGTTTAAGTAACAACCTGTCTGATATTTGCAGACTAGCAGATTGTAGTCCACATTTAAAGTAAGAAGTTGTGAGAAAGGTATTCAGCTCTGACCAGTTGGGCTCAGCGTAGGAATGTTGTAGAATACTGTATTGTGATCTCATTGAATTGATATCGTGAACAAAATCTTCTGGAAATTGATTTAATTTCCTAATCTTATTAAGTGAAGATAGGTAGCTTCTGAAAATAAATCATATTTTTAGTCCTATGATGTCAAACCTCATGGAAAGATAAAGATAGGGTAAGTATCTATAATTAAAATGCTGTTCAAAAGCTATATAACTGTCAACAAGCGTATCCCTTAAATACAATTGCTGTCTTTTGCAGGAGAAAACGGACATAGAAGGGACCTTATTTGTGTACAAGAGGTAAGGGGGTTTTTGTGTTGGTTCTTTTGTTGTTTTCCTTCCCTAAGAAAACAAACTTCAGGTGGTTTCATGTGTAGCTTTGATACTGGACTTACTGCATCCAGTAAACTTAATTAGTTATTTGTCCAGCTGTTAATGTCTGTATACTTATGTGAAAAAAATAAACTCTGCACATAGATGCTTTTGACAGTTAGTCACCTAAAGGTACTGCTGACAAATCATAAAGCTTGATAACGCTGCATATGTATCCACACAAAAACCTAGTTTATTGAGTTTATTTTTTAAACATCTGTTAATGTGTTATGTTTGTTAAATGCTGAGTCTTTCTTTGTCTCCTAAAATCCATAAAGTTGATTATGAAAGCAGTACAGATGACAAATTAAATAATCCGACCTAATGTAATTTCAGCTGTCTTCTGACAAAGTTGCCTAAAACTTGGGAGATCTGCTAGCATATATTTACGGGGGCTACTCGATTTCCTCATCAAAACTATGAAAGAAATTACCAGTTTTGTGGGGTGAGGGAGAACCAGCACATAAAACCAATCATGGGTTTAAGTTTTAAATTACAAGCAAATAAATCTAACAATGAAATAAAATTTTGTTGAGTGTAAGAAATATAAGTAATGCAGACTTAACCCATCCCAAAACAGACTGTCATGCAGTAGGTCAATATAATATTTTATCCTGGTAATGTGAAAGGATACTGGTAACCAGTTCCTGTCTGTTTTAGCTTCAAGCTTGGAAATGCTTACTGTAAGAAAACCAACCAAACTAAAAACCAGAAAGCTAAGCAAAAAGTTTCCTTGTGACTAGCTGATGATTTCAGACAAGTCCTGTAGGCGCATTAAAAAACTGATTCACAATGATGAGGATTGTTTGACCTCTCCTTGGAGGCTCTTGACAGATTTTGTTATTGATCATTCAGTAAAGGTGGCCACATTCTTACAGAAATCTCAACACTTGCTCGCTAGTTATATCTCATTTTTATCCGGCCTTCATCATGCTGCGGTGTTGATTATATGACTGCTTACAAACACAGCTGGGTATGCTGACATGACATTCATGCAGCAAGAGAAAACAGATCTAAAATTATCTTGAACTTCCAGTGCTTGCTTGGTATTTTCTTTTTCCACTTGTTGCCTAGCAAAAATCTAGATAATAAAAATAGTTTAATTAAGCAATATAAGTCTGAATAATTTTATATCTGCTTGAGGATACTGGGTGGAATCTTTATTTTAAGAGTATCCCTTTAGGAAGAAGTTAGTGCTTCTGGTTCCCCTGTCAAGTGTATTTCATGTTATTTCAGCTAACAGCTTTTTTTTTTGTTGTCATACCTATTTAAAGTAAGGTAAATATTGCTCCATAAGTGGTTTGGTTCTTCTCCTCTAATAAAAAATTCTAAAATGCCTCAAAACTATCCTATGTGGAAGTATTGAATATGGTTTCATTTTAATACTGGACCTGCCCTAGTTTTTTTAATTGATTTTTTTGAGGCATATCTTTGATTCAGCAGTTTAGCAGTGTAGAACTGTAATGCTAATCCTAATCCTACTTTGAGGTAAGTGTAGTTGTAGATTGAAATTAGTTGGCATGCCAATAAATGGCATAGAAGAACAGCTATTGGAGCTTCAGGGCTGCTAAAACTTCAGCTAATGAAGCAATGGAGATTTGAATATTAATTTGTAACTCTTTCAGAAAATTATATACATTGATCACGGTATTAATCCTTGTCTTTGTTTAAATTGAAACAATAGGTCAGCTTCACCTTATCATGGTTTTACAATAGTGAATCGGCTAAACATGCACAACCTGGTTGAACCAGTAAATAAAGATTTGGAGTTTCAGCTCCATGAACCCTTTCTTCTCTACAGAAATGCTAGCTGTGAGTATAACTTTCTTTAATCCTTATAAACTCTGTGTTCTGTTTTATAACCTAGACCACTTCTGATTGCTGTGATGTCTGTTTAAACTGTACTGTAATGGGGCAGTTTCCAATGAAATTCTGATGTTTTCTGCCTACAGTGCTAGATTTACTGAAACAGCTGTGCTGTTGTATTATGATGACCACATGCTTTCAACAGAAAAAGGACATACTAACAAAGTTAAATATTGCTATATTCTTTTTAATTAGTGATAGGTTGAATCTAAACATATACACTGTGTTATAGTGTTAATTAAAAACTGTGAAACAATAGTGAAGATTGATAGATCTTTGAAAGTATTTAACACTGAGAACAGTTCTAAGGGCTTCCTCTTCTGCAAATGAAAAGTTAAATATCAGTAGCTGCTTGAAGAACTTGAGGAAATTGCTCAGCTCTAGGCTGAGGTTTTCTTTCTCCACAATAGGTTTTTGGACTCAGGAGATGGATGTCTGTACTAAATTTCCTCTAGTTTAGACTCAAGTCTGGGTGTTGGGATAGTCGGTATCAAGATGAGTGGTAAAGTAGTAGTCAGTATCTTCTTGCTGCTTTTTGAATTCTAGTAGTGTTTTGGGTCATCAGTCAAGCTTCAGAATCCCAGTGTACTGTGTTTCAGTTAGGTACCTGCTAAAAATCCTGTTACTCCAAAGAGCTCAAAGTATAACTTATGTACCCCTTAAAGAGAGGAGGAGGGAGTATATGTGTGTATGAAATTCACACTACTTAAGCAGATGAATAAAAGGCACCCCACAGAGTAGAGGGTCGTCCTGATACAAGGGTGTTATGTCATGTCCTCTTTTCTAAGCGGAGTTCCTGAAACTAGTTTGCTGCTGTCTAGTGACAGGTTCCCTTTACAGAATGACTCGGAGAACCTGTATGCTGTCTGGATGCAGTACTTCCTCAACACCATGTCTTCTTCCTATTGGAATGTCCCCTTGAATTACAGATATGAACACTGCTTTGGCTGTGCTTCAGTGTACTTAAGAGAACAGTCAAATGTTAATTCCTTCCTGTGTCCCCCTTGGAAAGCCTGTAGGATCTGTGGGAAGTAGGATAGATTCCATTATGGTGGCAAAGAACAGCTTAACGTAGGTGGTCTCCTCTGTTTAATAGTGTTAGCAATCCATTGGTAAGTGACATTGAGGGGAGACGGTCAAAACTTGTCAGTGTGTTGAGAAGCTTAGGAGTTTAGGGAAGTAAATGTCTGGCAAGAAATTGGAAGGGGAAAAATACTGCATTGAGTTGGATGTTTAAGGAGGTTGCTTGGTTTGGAAGGAAGAGGAGCTCTAGGTGATGGGGTAGGATGGCAGATGAGGTGGCAGTAGAGGAAAGAATCGCAGTTGTGAGATGGGTGACATAAGGGAACCAGAAAGTTGATTTGTTTGTTGGAGCTGCTGTGGAATTACCATGGTGAATGCTAGTGGGAGTGACTAGAGGATCACTTAAATGAAGCAATCAGAGAAGGTAGGCTGTGTGTGAGTTCATTAGAAACCCCTAAAGCTAATTATATGCCTTTCTGTCATTGATAAAAGCTCTCCTTTTCCTGTGGGACACTATTGTGTAAGATCCATGGGAGGCTCATGGAAGTGACGATAGAGATGACACAGAAAAGTATGAGGAAGGAAGGAATTCATACAGAAGTCAGCAAGGAAAATATAGATTGGATACGGGAAATAATTGCATTCTGAAGCAATCAAGAATTTTTTTTTTGTTTACCCTTGTATCCTTCCATTATAATTTTAAAAGACTTTAATCATAAACTGTCCTTTATTTTGTAACTCTGTTTTGTCTCCTGGAAGTGGGTGGTGGCATGTCCAGAATGGTAGCATGTCCAGAAACAGTCTACACTGACTGCACATTGAAAATGCTCAATGTAGTTAGTATGTCATTAGTTATTTGAGTGCAACAAATAAGCAGCAGATCCGTTTTAGTGTGGATTTAGTTTTTTAATCCATACAATTTCAGCCCTGCTAACTCCCTTTTACATTTTGCGTTTAGTTGTTCTGAATTTTTTTCCTTACACGCAGTTTCCCAAATTTCCTGACTTCTGTTCCCTGAATTAGGTAGAAAAAAGAGTGTTGGCAACATTCTGGTTTCTTGTAGAGTGGGGTTTTTTTGTGTCCTGCTTGAGGAAATCTACTGTGATCATTGGCAACTCTTAAGAGTAAGTTGTCCTGCTAAGATTGCTGAATGATTGAACTGAATCATACTCTGTTCCCTTAACTTACAGATGGGGAATTGTTCAGGCTACCTGATAAAAACCTAAAATCATGTTTATTAATACTGCTGTTTGGCAGAGACAAACATATTTTGTGCGTGTATATTTAGGTTGTAACAGGATCAATGATAAATCATGGTTTACTCTTCCCCAGGGCAGAGCAGAAATAGTGCAAAATGATCCAAGCAAAATTATGGCACCATGTATTCGGGCAGTGTTCTGTGGCAACAGTTTTTATAACTGTATATGATACTACTGTTTTATAAACTTCATATTTTCACTTTGTTCTGAGATTCTTTCTGTCTTAAGACAATAAGGGCAAAGTCTGTAACGTATACCAGATCAGACTTCTGGCGTTTCTGTATTAAATGGCATCAGAGCTGTTCTGCGTATATCAAGTGATGTACTCCAGTCTGTGCAGAGCTGCTCACAAGTTATGTGAGGAACTTTGCAAGCAATATATAAGTGCTATTATTGTTTGGCTGGAGGCTCTAAGAATGATTTGCCTGTCATGCTATATTATTTTTGGGGGGTTTACCATTCATTTATAGTTTGATTTATTCAAATACTTTTTTTAATATACAATGGAATTCTTAGTTTGCTGCATATCAGAACTTTTGTTAAGCTGTAGACATGAGATCCCTTACTCGCATAAAGGATTTTTTTGTACTCTTGGAACAAGACTAGGTAATTGCCATTTTATTCTCACAGGAAAGGAGGCCTGACTTATCTTTCATAGCTGTTGGGGGAGGTTTCCCGTGTTATTGCAGGGTGGGATATGAAGGAGTCTTTCATGGGTATTCTGGAAGGAGAACAGACGAACTGATACTGTACCTTTCTTGTATCTACCTTTTGTTGTGTTCACTGAGTGAAATGGAAGACGTTTGAGTCAATTTGTTATTCTGTTTAGATGTAAGACATGTAGAAATTTTTTTTTGAGAAAATAATACCTTTTTAATATTTTAGCTGTTAATGGGGAAGCCTTTCCCAACTCCAGACTTTTTTTTTTCCCCTCAAAATTGTTCTTGGTACATAATACTGTTCAAGCCCCAAAAGAATACTTAAACCCCAAATTTTGAGAAAGCTTGTCGGTTTAAAAAGTTGTATATAATGCTACCTGGAAAACTACACCATTCATTCATGAGGCATCAGATCCTAAAGCAAAAATGATGGGGGGTATCACTAAGAAGCTGAGAGACATCATACCAGTTAGAGTGGTAAATAGAAAAAAAGGTATTCAGACTTTCATAGTTAGAATTAAAGAAAGCAAATATCTCCAAATGTGAACAAATCAAGGAATTAAGTCAAACAATTTATTTTCATTTCAGTAATGTAACATTTTAAATTTAGGATTCCTTTTTTAAAGGTAGAATTTTTAAAATCATATTTCATACTTTATGTGCTCTTAATTATTGATGAATCTGGTATACCTGTTGCTGGGGACATTGAATCCTTGTCTAACTTTCCCTCTGGACACATCCACATTCTTTAGAGTATTCAGAGTATTTATTTGTGAAGCACTGAATCCCATTGACTTAATTTTTTTAGATGAGCCTAAATCTGTTTCCTCTTGTCTCTGTTTTGTGAAAATTATGTTAAAGTCTTTTTAAAAAGGTGAGTACAGTTCAGCTAGTAACAGTAATAATAATCCAATCTGAAAGTTCAGTACTTTCTTTCAATCTGTAATGTGAGAATTTGGAACTAATGGTTGATAGTTTGCTTAACAGTAGAGGAAAATTAGTCAAAGTTTTAAATAATGGCCAACTTACCTCTTAAAGTGTGCAAGAAGTATCCTTCTAAGTCTTTCTCTTTTGTAACTTTCCCTCTGTATCGGTGGTGTTGGTCTTCATTAAAAGGCTTTTTAATCCAAGCTAGTTCACTTGGTAGGTCAGGCAGATTGATTTCCATGGTGCTAAAAGGCAAATGCTAAGCGTAAAACTTGGGTATTCAAATAAATGGTCCTTGTTTGGTGTGGATTTTTTTTCTTGTTTGGGTTTTTTTTCTTGCTTGCTTCTTATTCCTGTCTAAGGGTAACAGTTAGTGAAACAAAAATGATAGATTTTGAAGAGGTTTATATGTTTAAGTGGAAAACTCGGTTACAGAGTGCTGTCTTCTGGGCTTGTTGTATTATCATTAATTAAACAAACTTGTATTCAGAACAGCAAAAGCAAAATGAGTTGCATTATTTCAAATGGCTTTGGAAATCCTGTAAAAGAGCTGCTGACTGGTTTCAAAACAGGGCATCTTTAACTGGTAAGGAAAGTCTTTCATTATTGCCTTTGTTCCTGGCTGGCAATGCATTAAGTATAACATATCTCAGTGATTGCCGAAACTGCTCTCCAGCAAGCGCATTAACCCAGTGGTTTAGCCAGAGATAAGAAAGGAGCCTGTTCTTGATACCTTTATAGCAGAAGAAGCAATGCAAGCTAGGAAGAGGGGAGGAACAGTTCAAAGCTATTAAGCAGTTCTAAAAATATTTTGTTTGACCTGAAAGGTGGCACTCTAACTGGAAGGGGTTTTTCACTTTGGTTCAGTGTTGTGGAGTAGTAATTCCTCTCTTTCCACACTACACTTTGTTAGATGGCAGTCTGTTAAAGTGTTCCTGATCTTGGATGCTGTTTGCTACCTGCTGAGTTACTCCAGCACAACTCTTTGTGGGATTGCGCTGTGAACTGTATTTGTGAAATTGCCTTGGATATTCAAGACAAGGAAGGACTTTTTTTATTAATGTTAAATATTTATAAATATATGTGGCAGGCTAATGTTTAAATTGAGGAGAATATCAATAGTGAATAAGGAATCTCAGTGAAGAAGGTATTAGAGCAGAGTGGCTGAGGAGAGGTGGCATTTCTGCTAACCTTGCTGCTGGAAGAAATAGGAGCTTTGAGGGAGATTGCTTTATGTGTTTATTGCTTTATGCCTTAAACTCTGTTTAAAGTATAAAATGATGCATGTACCATATGCAAATGATGCATAGATGAGCTTTTATTAATGGGAGTGAGATTGGGTTGATTTCCATTATTACCTTATAGAATGGGCAATATCTAAATTGGAACTGTAAAATAAAACTTTACCGTCTTCTGGCAGCTCTTCCAACTAGTTAAAGTAACTTTTAAACAGATGATCTCTTTGAATGAGGCGAAGCTATATCTGCACAAATGGCTAAATTGCCTAAGGCAAGAGAGTGATAGTGTCCACAATCTCTGAAACTGGAACCGCTGATGAGTCCCATGAACAGTTCTTCAGGCATAGCATTCTTGGGCTATGGTTTCATGAACATTTTAACAGTTTTGCCTTACTGCGCTGCCCCCAGCTTCTTGTTTCTGCCCTCTCTATTGTGCTAGATGGCATGTTTGTGAAGCTGATGTGCAAACAGCGTCAAAGAACTGGTCTGGACTGAAATGTATCTTCTGTCTCACTGTGGCACTTTGCTATCCCCACTCTTAATTCAGACATACTAACTGGGCAGCATTGGACCAGTAAACTGATTGCCCCATGAAGCGATGGGAACACAACGTAGAAGAGACCAAAACCTTGCTTTTGGTGTCATCCAGCTGTTAGACTTGAGCAGGAGGACTTCCATAGTGCTTTCCTTTTCTTTAAATATTTTCCCATAGCAATTTCAATCAAAGTTTTAATGATTGATCTAGTTAAGTTTGGAGAGAAGTTGAGTATTACGTGTTTAGATAAATATTTGTGGGACAGTGTATCTAATAAAAATGGCATAGGCCAGAGAAGAATGTAGATGAAGATAACTGATGACTTATTTTATGAAATCTGATTTGTCTGTGGTATGGGTTACTCGTGAGTTCGTGTGTGTCAAAATGTAGTGTGAATCCAGCTGAAAGATATTGCAAAGATGATTACAAAGTACTGCTACTTGATTAAGGATGCTGCCCAGCATTCAGTATAGAAAAGCTGGATGGAAAATTAGTCACTTAATTTAGTGATTTCTGTTGCATGAAACTCTTGAAAGTACTGCAGTAGAAAGATATGCCATGAGACCTATGAACATTCAGCTGACGCTTATGCTGGGTGTAGTAAAAAGATCACAGATTTGAAAAGAAGTAGTGAGTACCAACTCTGTTTTTAATAAAAGGATATTCATAGCTAAAGTTGCATGCATGTAAGAAATATATCAAATATAGTAATGCAGTTAGGACGCACACACGCATACTTCTGGGGCAAAGGAGCTGAACTGATAGTATAAACGAGTCCTCTTTTGAAAAGAGGAAGGTAAACATTCCAGCCTGTTGGACCGTATCTAAGTTAATGCCCAATTTTACTTGTTCATAATCTGCTTTACATCTTTGTAATACTGTTAATGTTTTGCAGTGACTCCCTGTGATTGCTTGCCAGTAGTACAAAGTGGAAAAAAGCCTGATACTCTGTACAGCAAACTGAGATTTGGATCTACTTCTGGGCTTGTGTAGGCCTGTTTCTGCCAGAATTGAGTGCGACTTATCATTTGTCCCATTAAGATACCATTATAGGTTCTTTATCTTCATTTCTTTTGCAAGTATGCTTTTGAAGAAGCATTCTTCTCTTGGCAGTTTGATAATGGAGTCAGGGAAGGGAAA